TTACCTAAAGATTATACAAAAATGAAACTTACGTTTTTCTAGACTGTTGGAACTTATGCTTCTTCATTTATAGAATTTTCAGAATGATATTATTAGTCTACTTTTGGTTTATGCTACTGGTTCGTTTTGATGTTGAAACCTTTAAGTTTTTTGTTGAAGGACTTTGTTATTGATTTGATGTTGATGTTGATGTTGATACCCAAGAATGATGTTTAAACCTTTTAAGAATGACATTGTTGCTGATTTCGTTTTGATCTTTAAAACTTTAAATAAAACTTAATTTTACTATTGATACATGTACGATGTATACTTGATATATCACTGATATATTATTGATATGCAGAAAAACCCTAAGTTTCTATTTACCTCTAATTTCTAATTGATTTCTCATTCACAGTAATTTCGAAAATCACCAGTGACGTTCACATTCACGTTCCTTTCAAGTTTTCTTTCTCATTTTCAATAAGTATCAAATTTTTTTCTGATTTTCCATGCATGCCAATACCTACTAATTTCTAATTGATCAAAAAAAAATATAAGACAAAGGGTTAAAGCAAGTAAAATAGTGATTTAATATTATAAAACTGATAGAACTGATTGACTTCTGATATACTAATGTTGTTAGATATACTCCTGATATATATGTGATATATGTTTGATATATAATAACGAAACGATAACTGAAAAGGGTAATTTGGAAATACTGAAAATTTTAAAATCAGGATTTTCAAAAAAATGCTATATCTGAAAATATCAAAAAGGCATGCTATTTTGTTAAATATAGAAAACTTATATGCTACCCATTACAAATCCCCTAAAAGTAATTAATAAATAAGTGTTAATATGCATTTAGTTTAAGTTGATTGATTTCTCTCCTCAAAATTATAATATTATACCCTAAAGAAAATACAATATTTAAATATATATAAATATTATGTCCATATTTTATTAGTAACATATAATATTTATCAAATAATTTCCATTAATTTTCATAATTTTGTTTCGACATTTTCACCGCGAGGACATTTCCAAAATATATTAATTGTATATTTAGATTTGATAGGTAAAAGTGATAAATTATAGCTTAATTAAGATTCAATGGAAGTTTTATTTATTGATTCAAAAAATTTGCATCAATATCCACAAATTTCGTGCTTTTTTCTGAAAATCCATCAACATCGACATGTCGTAAAATCTGGACCTCGACATTTCCATTGACATCGACATTTCGAACCTTGGTGGCAGCCGACTTGTGGCTGACTGGGCTGGTAGTGCACATTGCCAAATTCAGTGCTTTAGTGCATGCCAGCCCCACATCCCATTTTTTTAACCTTTTTAAAATTTAAATAATATTTCAAATTGATTTCTTTGTATTTGTTTCTTCCTTTTTTATATTAATAATATTTTATTTAAATTTTATATTTTTACAAAATGAAAATGTGAACCACTAAAACTAAGGTTTGAACTTTGAAACTCTTTCCTCTCCCATTCTCTTCCACTCTTCATCTTCCATTATTTATCTTCCTCTCTTCCTCCTTCATTCTTTTCCAAACTTTTCTTTCTCCATTCCATTTTCATCGCTTGGCACCATCCACCCATGCCACTGCTTCGTCTGACTGTCGATGCTACTATCTCTACTCTTTCGACATTGGTCAGAGCACTTCAACATCAAGTAAGGTAAAATCAATCTCGTGTGATTCTGACTTTAAGTAATAATTATATTACTACTAATCTTTAATCTCACATATTTATCATAACAAATTTATTTTTATTTATAGGCACCATGAGCGATTCAACCACAACTAGAAAGAATACGGATATTGAGAAATCTGATATGCCCCCCCCACCGTCACCGCCACCAGCACCGTTCCAAACTCCTACTACTGACTGTAATACAGTTTCAGCGGCAAGGAAGATGAAACATACGTCTATGGTATGGGATCATTTTACTAAATTCTCTTATTCTAAATATAGTGATGATGATCCACATGCTAGATGTAATTATTGTGGTATGGTATATGCATGTCACACTAGGAGAAATGGGACAAGGAAAATGAAAGTGCAAATTAACTACTATTGCAAAAAAAAGAAAAAGAAAAATCCTTATCAAAGTAAGAAAAATAGGGTAGATGCAACTCAAACCAAATTGGTATTTAAGAATAAAGATACTTCAAGTTCAAGGGAGCATTCCAATTCAAAGCTTATTTGTGAGATGTTCACTATTGAGAATGCTCGAAGACTAATTGCTGAGATGATTATAATTGATGAATTGTCTTTTAAATTTGTGGAGAGTGAAGGATTTAGGAGGTTTGTGCAAGGGACTTTGTACTTGGTAGAACCAAATTTTGTTCTTCCTTCTTGAACTACCATTGCTAGGGATATTTTTAGGTATGTATGCTAGTATGAAACGAAGTTTGAAGGACACTTTTGTGGAACAAGGATATAAGTCGGGACACTTTTGTGGAACAAGGATATAAGTCTCACTTACGACCGATACTTAGAAATCAATTTAGAATATTAATTATATGATTCTGACTGCACACTTCACTGATAATAATTGGAAGTTGCATAAAAGAATTATTAATTTTTCTCAAATTGAGAATCATGAAGGGGAGACTATATGAAGGGAAGTTGAGAAATGTTTGAAACAATGGGAGATTGAAAAGGTTTTGACATTGACAATTAATAACGCTTCACCAAATGATACTATCATTGCATATCTAGTTAAACGTTTAATCATGGGTTGGTGTTGAAGGGTGACTTCTTACATGTAAGGTGTTGTTCAGATATTTTGAATTTGATTGAATGTGATGGAATAAAAAGTGTATTGAAGAGGAGAACATAACTAGTAAGAGTTTGTTATGTTTCTATGTTCCAACTCAATGGAACTCTACATATTTGATGCTTGATGCAACAGAAAAGTTTGAAAAGACATTTGAGAGGTTAGAATACTATGACACAGCATACACGAGTGAGGATAAACTGGCTAAAAAGGATTGGGAGGTTGCTCGAATATTTATCAAATTCTTATATGTATTTTATGAAGTGACTTGTAGGCTTTCAGGGTCTCTTTATGTTACTTCCAATATTGTCTTCCATGAGATTAGTATTGTTCAAAATTACATAAAACAGTATTCACGTGAGAGTGGAAATGAAAATGCACTTCTTCGTGAAATGGCAGCAAAAATTCAAAGGAAATACGATAATTATTGGGGAAGTAGTGAAAAATCAAATAACTTATTGTATGTTGCTTTTGTTTTAGGCCCTAGTTATAAGATGAAATCTTTGGTTTACTGTTTGAATCAATTAGTAGAGGGTCATGTGGCAAGTGTCATAGTGTAGAAGGTGGAAGATGTTTTGAGAGGATTATTTAATGAATATAGCTTGTCTGCTTCATGCAGCAGTTCATCATCTTTTTTGTTTGCTTCAAGGAGTAGTTCGTCATGTTTGTCTACTTTAGATCTTTTTTGTTGTATTGATGATATGGATGATGACACACAAACTGCAGATACAGAGGTGGATATTTATTTATTGAATGCTCATGTAAAATGTGAGGAGAATTTTAATATCTCCGATTGGTGGAAGGGCAATTCTTCTAGATACAAGATTTTTAGTAAAATTGCATGAGATATTTTAGCAAGTCCAATGTTGGATGCTATTCATCCCTTAATCACACGTCATCAATATATAAAATCACTACAAGCTTGAGCAAATATCGAACTCGGCACACGACAAGCTCAGTAGGGGCTGTTACTTAGAATTGTTGAGGTAACCAATTTCCCTGATCGTGTGTAATACTTTCTATAATTAGGGGGGAAGAGAAATCGTCAATTTGAATTTGAAAGGAAACCGCCCCCACACAAAGGTAACGGTCAGTTTGAAATCTATTATAAGGATCCCAAATAAGAGAAATGGGGATATGCAAATTTTATTATTAAGATTCAACATTTTTTACTATTTTACTTAAACTGACAAAAGCTTTGGAGTGCTAACTCCCCTTTTGCAGGTATCTTATCATCTTGGGGTACTCTCAAAGATCCATTGTGATTATCGATATCAATCGCTAAGAACAATTGGCTCGGTCTGTGGGAAACATAAAGTTTCTATTTATTTAAATTTTGAAAAAAGAACCCGGTGAAGTCCAACCAGGCAATGGCGGATGATAATATGTCTCAACGATCCGTCACAAGCAGTAGAACTCGGGCTTTAGTTCGTACACCAACCCGAGGGTAGGAAAGACCACTTTTGATGCGCGACGGAGGATTAGGGAGAAATACTCAACGACCAAGTACCTCGAATAGTGTCAAGCGAATGGGCAGGAGTTGATTGACTTACGAACGGAGTTGAACGAGGTTCGTTCCGAACTCAGAGGTGTCGCCCATTTGCGTGCTGAGATCGCTGAACTAACAGCGGCCCTACGCTGAAATCAAATCCCATAAGAGATTCCTAAACCATCGATCAGGGTCCAAGAGAGAGATATAGGTGAAGATGTGTCTGTAGATTCACCGATTCCACGAGATCCAATACGAGGAAAGGCACCGATGCAATCAGGAGAAGATAGTACAAGGAATTTACGATCGCGAGTCCTAGTGCGTGAACGACTAAATTTAGGATCCCGAAGGACTGCAACCCTTGATCCTCGGGATGGCATTTGTGTCCATGTCACCACAGAGGTACCAGATTTGCGACAAACCATGTCAGGACAGAATAGAGGTCGACAAACAGGGCAACAGACCCCTCTGACACCGAACCTAGGATCAACTCCTACAACGACAAGAGTACAGTCGAATGTCCGTGAACAAGGGCAAACGACCACACAAGCGATTACGTCTACCCACCAAGAAACAATAGACGTACTTGAGGTCCCAAACCCAATGGAGCTGGAAGTGATAAGCAAACTTCAGAATGATTTTTAAGCCCTCCGACTGAGTTGCAATCCGGACGATACAACTTGAGTGGAGTTCAGCGAAAGAGAGGATCCACCTTTCACCGTGCCAATCATGGCGTATCCTCTACCACCAAAGATGAAGAAACCGGATATGAAGCCTTATGACAATTTCGCCAACCCAATTGACCATATAGAATTGTATGAGGGATTGATGGAACTTAGTGCCATGGGGGACAAAATGAAATGTCGGGCTTTCTCGGTGACTTTAAAAGGTCGAGCAAGATCTTGGTATCGGCAGCTAAAATCGAAATCCATAGCCTTATGGATACAATTGAGGAAAGTCTTTATTAATCAGTTCTCGGCTCAGCATGACCGGAAGAAGTCGGATACCCATCTGTTGACCATCTTCCAAGAGGAAGGTGAGTCGCTACATGAGTTTGTAGGAAGGTTTGTGACGGAAAAGATAAAAGTTTTGGATTGTTCGAATGATGTGGCCAGAATGACATTCATGTCCATCATAAACACTCCCAACTTAATTCAGTCCTACGCATTACAACCGAAGCGTACTTATACTGAAGCCATTCAACGAGCTCGGAAGTATATGCATGCTGAAGATGTGCTTAAATATAAACAGCTCCAGCACCAGACCACAACTTCAAAGCATGTACGAGCTCGGGGCCAAAGTTCCCAGTCTAAAAAGAGCCATTCGGGTAGGGATGACCGAAGGAAGGCGAATTTTGATAGCCGACCACGACAAGAGTGTACCATACCAGTATATGATCGATGACTTCTCAAGTTCGACCATTACACGCCACTTAACGTGTTGTTATTAGAGATCTTGACAAATATAGAGAATAGTGACATGCACAAAATGCTAGAGAGGACGGAAAAATGAAACTCAGTCCTGAGAAGAGGAATCAGAATAAATATTGTCGATTTCATAGAGACCATGGCCATGATACCTCGTAGTGTTTTTATCTTAGGGACCAGATTGAGAACTTGATTCAAAGGGGCAATTTTAAAAAGTACGTGGAAAAAAAACGCATGTTCATCTCAAGGAAAGAGGAAATATGACCGTACCGACAGAGATGACAAAGATCAATCACCCCTCGCCTAAAAAGAGGGCAGCTGAAGGGAAAAGACAAACGATCATAAATACCATTTTTGGTGGTCCAAGTGGAGGTCATTCAGGCAATAAAAGGAAGGGTTTAATTCGCGAAGCCCAACACAAGGTAAATACCTCTTACACCATGCCCACCGTTGCACTGACATTCTATACGGAGGATTTAGAAAGAATTCATTTACCGCACAACGACGCTTTGGTCATTGCATCGGTGATTGATAATGTAAATGTAAAAAGAGTACTAATTCATTTACCCAACTCCTTTAGTGGGTTTCTCATGGGAGTCAGTTGCAGCCGAAGGTTGTATCAATTTGCCAGTTCTCATCGGAGAGGGAAAAGATGAAGTTCGAAAAATTATCGAGTTCGTCGTAATTGACGGTACTTCGGCTTATAACGCAATACTTGGGAGACCTTATATCCACGATCTCCAAGTTGTGCCATCAACCTACCATCAAATGATGAAGTACCCCACCGCTGAAGGGATAGAGGTGGTCAAAAGAGAACAAAAAGCTTTGTGGCAATGTTATGCTACTGTATTAAAAGGAGTCCGAACTTATGCTGTGTTCAAGAAGGATCTCCAATTCCGAACTTAACAAATGATGGAGCTCTTCCAGATGAACGGGTTAAGGCAACCAAAAGTTGGGGCACTTCCAAAGAAGAATTAGAGCAAGTACGACTGGGATCAGCTGAAAAGAAAGTCAGCATCCGGGTGGGGATGTCAGCCGCACTACGAAGCGAAATTATTAGTTTTTTGCAAGAAAATTCAAACGTATTTGCTTGGTTCCATGATGATATGCCAGAGATTGATCCTAGTGTTATTGTTCCCAAGCTAAACATAGACCCGGATTATAAGTCGGTTAAGTAGAAATGTCGACTTGTGGACGCTGCTTGAAGCATTGTAATTTCTGAGGAAGTTGATAAACTCCTCAAAGCAAATTTTATAAAAGAAGTTTATTATCGCGCGTGGCTCTCTAATGTAGTGATGGTAAAAAAAGCTAACGTAAAGTGGCGGATGTTTGTTGATTTTACCAATTTAAACAAGGCATGCCCGAAAGATAGTTTTCCTTTACCAAGAATTGATCAATTGGTTGATGCAACTACAGGCCGTGAACTATTAACCTTTATGGATGCTTATTCAGGCTACAACCAAATAAAGATGCATGTACCTGATCAAGAGCATAAAGCATTCATAACCAATCAAGGGCTTTATTGCTATAAGGTCATACCCTTCAGTCTAAAGAATGAAAGAGCAACTTATCAGTGCCTGGTGAGTATGTTGTTTAATAAACAAATAGGACAGAACATGGAAGTTTATATGGACGAGATGTTAGTAAAAGTGTGACATCCGAACAACACCTAGCCGACCCGGCAGAATCATTCGGCGTGTTAAGACATTATCAAATGAAACTAAACCCAACCAAATCTGTTTTTAGGATATCATCAGGAAAATTCCTAGGATTAATGGTTAATCGAAGAGAAATCATCGAAGCAAATCTAGATAAAATTAAAGTAGTGTTAGAAATGGAATCACAAAAAAAAATATGAAACAACTTCAATGATTGAACAGTTGAATAGCTACTTTGAATCGGTTCGTTTCATGGTCTACAGATAATTGTCTGCCATTATTTAAAATACTGAGAACTAGAGGCAAATTCGAATGGACAGAAGAGTGTGAGCAGGCATTCTTTCAGTTGAAACCATACTTGGGCACTGCGTCATTACTCTCAAAACCAGACGATCAGTTGTACTTGTATCTCGTTGTATTGGATACAGCGGTTAGCTTAGTTTTAATTCGAAATAGTGAAGGATGACAGAACCCAGTATCTTATACTAGCAAGTCGATGACTAATGCGGAAACGAGATATCCGAGTATTGAAAGACAATATTGGCCCTGGTTATGTCAGCTCGACGGTTACGACCTTATTTCCAAGCTCACAAGATTTTAATGCTTACTAATTTCCCTTTGAGATAAGTCTTCCAAAAGCCATAAACTTCTGGTAGATTAATAAAGTAGGCGTTACAGCTAGTATGATATCAGTTTCAAGCCCCGAACATCATTAAAGGGTCATGTAGTGGCCAATTTTGTGGTGGTATTAACACCTAGTGAAACAACAGTCGATTTGAAGAGGCAGTGGACCTTGTACGTCGATGGGTCCACTAATGAAAAAGGGTGCGGAGCTGGAATCCTTCTGCAATCTCCTGAAGGAACGTGGTTTGAGTACGCTTTAAGGTTCAACTTCAAAACGTCCAATAACAAAGCTGAGTATGAAGCTTTATTGGTCGGGTGTCGTATTGCCCAGAGTATGGGTGTCGCTTGCTTATTGATTCTTATTGATTCACAACGTATAGTAAATCATATTACTGAAGAATTGCAAGCTAAAGACAGCAAAATGGCCAAGTATTTAGAGAAAGCGCGTGTTAATTTGGATAAATTTAAAGATTTTGTGATTAGACAAATTCTCAGGTCAGAGAACTCGAATGCAGATGCCTTGACTAAATTAGCTTCACCATACGAGACCGAGTTCCCCGTACCGTCTCCAAAGAGGTATTAGGAACACCATCAATAAATGAGTCAAATCATTACGACGTCAAAGTTCGAGCACGTTGTTGGAAGGATCCAATCGTAGATTTTTTTCAAGGAATTTAGCCTGAAGAACCTCAAGCGATGCGAAAACTAAAGAGACAAGCTGCACATCATTTATTGATAAATGGAGTGTTATACAAGATAGCATTTTCGTTGCCTTTATTAAAATGTCTGACTCTAGAAGAAGCGAAATTCACGAAGGAATATGTAACGCCCCGCGTTCTTAGGTTAGTTTTATTTTAAGATTTAAATCGAGCATTTGGATTTTTCCCCTAAGTGGATAATTTAAATTCTTGGATTTTGTATTTTGGAATTATAATGTTGGGTAAATTAGAATTTAGTTTAATTTCGTTGGATTAAGATAATTTAAGTTCTCGATCAGTGCAGGAGATTTTTGTTTAAATCTTAAATCCATGGTTTCGGGACTCTTAATTTCTACTTATTGGATTATTATTCTTGGCTTTAGAGTTTAAGTTAACTATTTTATTTCGAGTTGTTGTGGGTTTATTTGATTTCTAAAGTGAAATTTTAGGCTTGTTGTTTTGGGCTTTTGTGTTATTTATTTGGGCCTCATTTAAGATTTGGGGATTGGGCTATAAGTTTAAAAACAAATTAAAGAAAAAGGAATTAAATCAAATTAAAAGAAAAAGAAAACCCTAAATCTATTTTGTTTTTTTTTCTTTTTTTTCTTTCTTCTTCT